ATATACATAGAGAACCCCAAAATCTCCACAGAAAAACTAATTCAACTCATCAATCAATTCAGTAAAGTGGCAGGATACAAAATCAACACGCAAAAGTCAGTAGCCTTCCTATACACAAACAATAAATCTGAAGAAGAAGAAATCAAAAAAACCACCCCTTTTATTATCGAAACAAAAAAATCAAATATTTGGGAATAAATCTAACAAAGGAGGTAAAGGACCTATACAAAGAAAACTATAAAACACTGTTAAAAGAAATAGAAGAAGACACAAAGAAATGGAAAGACATCCCCTGCTCATGGATTGGAAGAATAAACATTATTAAAATGGCCATCCTACCAAAAGCAATATACAGATTCAATGCTATTCCAATCAAAATCTCAATGGCATTCTTCAAAGAAATAGAACAATTATTGATGAAATTCATATGGAATCACCAAAAACCCCGAATAGCCAAAGCTCTACTGAAAAAAAAAGAAGGAAATGGAGGCATCACACTCCCAGACTTCAAACTCTACTACAAAGCCATAATCATCAAAACTGCATGGTATTGGAACAAGAACAGACATACAGACCAATGGAATCGAATAGAAAATCCAGAAATAAACCCACAGATTTATGGTCAACTAATCTTTGACAAAGGAGCAAAGACTATGCATTGGAGCAAAGAAAGTTTGTTCAATAAATGGTGCTGGGAAAACTGGGTCGCTACATGCAAAAGAATGAAGCTTGACCACTACCTCACACCATACACAAAAATCAACTCAAAATGGATTAAAGAACTAGACATAAGACCTGAAACCATAAAATACATAGAAGGAAATATAGGCGAAACACTACGGGATTTGCACATCAAAGACATCTTTACAGACACATCACCCAAAGCAGTGATAGTGAAGAGAAAGATAAACAGCTGGGACTACATCAAATTAAAGAGCTTCTGCACAGCAAAAGAGACAATAACAAAAACAAAGAGAAACCCCACCAACTGGGAGAACATTTTTGCACCCAACACTAATGATAAAGGACTGATCACAAAAATCTGCAAAGAGCTGATGAGACTCAGCAACAACAAAGAAAATAATCCAGTCAAAAAATGGGCAGAAGAGCTAAAAAGAAACTTCTCTGAAGAGGAAATGCAAATGGCCAACAGACATATGAAAAAATGTTCAACATCACTTGTAATCAGGGAAATGCAAATCAAAACTACCATGAGATACCATCTCACACCAGTGAGAATGGCACATATTAAAAAAACTAGCAACAACAAATGTTGGCGAGGATGTGGAGAAAAAGGAACTCTTGTGCACTGTTGGTGGGAGTGCAAACTGGTCCAACCACTATGGAGAGCTGTGTGGAGATTTCTGGACCTACTAAACATAGAGCTTCCATATGATCCAGCAATTCCACTCCTAGGTATTTACCCAAAGGACACAGAAACATCAATTCCAAAGAGCACCTGCACTCCTATGTTTATAGCAGCACTGTTTACAATAGCTAAGCTTTGGAAACAACCCAAATGCCCAAAAATAGATGACTGGATCAAGAAGATGTGGTACATATATATCATGGAATATTACTCAGCATTCAAAAAAGATAAACACATGCAATTTGCAGCAACATGGATGGCACTGGAAGGGATCATGCTCAGCGAAATAAGCCAAAAAGAAAAAGAAAAATACCGGATGGTCTCACTCATAGCAGGAATCTAGAAAACTTAAATAAGGGACCAGGAAAATGAATATAAGAAAGTGAAAATCAAAATCAACAAAAAACTATGAACCAGAGACACTTTTGGTGGGTGGGGGGCGGGAGGGGAAGGATTGGGGTCAGAATGGGGCGTTTGCAATTGTATGGGGGAATATAAAAATAAAATTTAATATTTAAAAAAAAAAAAAAAAACATTAAAAAGATAAACTTACAGCCATTTCTAAGTTTCTTTCCCAGGATTCTAAAATTAAGTCAAATGAGTAGAAGTGAGTAGAACATCAATATCACTTATGCATGTTACTACTTGTTTGTTGTACTAATAAATTTAAGAGGAGTTAGAATGTTAAACAGGCTATCATGTTCAAAATTTAATTCTAGGACTGAAACTATGACATTTTATTGTTACTTAACCAAAAAAAAAAAAAAAAAGATTTAGTATAAATAAAAATATAAAATATCTTAAAAAAAACAAAAATATGGTATTGGAATAAAAATATATACACATTGATACATGGAACAGAATTGAAAGCCCAGAAATAAATCTATGCATGTGTCAACACTTCATTCATGATAAAGGAGCCACAGCCATACAGTGGAGAAAGGAGAGTCTCTTTAATAAATGGTACTGGGAAAATTGGACAACTATATGTAAAAGAATGAATGTGCATCACTAACTCTATGCACAAAAATAAATTCAAAGGGATTAAAGACTTAATTTTAGAAGAAAACACTGGTGATATGTTTCATAACATCAAATGCTGAAAGATGTTTTTTGTGGACTGGACCTCTATAGCAAGGGAAATAAAAGCAGAAATGGACAAAACTCAGACTACCTCAAAGGAAAATTTTTTTACACAGCAAAAAACACCAGCAGATTGAGAAGTCATTCCACTGAATATAAGAAAAATATTCACATATTTCACAATTCACAAATGGCTAATAACCCATATGTATTTTTAAAAAGTACATAATTTAACCAAAAAAACCAATAATAATCAGGCAGCAGATATGAACAATTCACCAAAAAGGATATCTAGAAGGGCAACAGCATGCAGCTATTTTATAAAGCAAACTGGATTTACCTTAAAAACTAAAAATAGAAATAGTATATGACCTAGCAATCCCACTTTTTTGCATCTCTCCTAATAACTTGAGACCAAGTATCCCCCAATTATGTGCTCCATGTTTGCTGCAGCATTATTTACAAAAATTAGGATATAGAAACACCCTCTACAAGAATGGATCAAGAAGATGTGGTATATCCACGAACGGAATACTATTCTGTAAGGAAAGGCAAAACATTGCCATTCACAGCAAAATGGAAGGATTTCAAGAGAACTATGTGTGATAAACAAGCCAAAAAGACAAAGAAATACTTTGGACATTTATAAAGTAGACAATTCAAAATAGAAAAATACTTATTAAAATTAAAAGACACTACAAAGTAAGGTTTCTGAGGTTAAGAGGGAAGAGAATGGGTAAAAGGGATAGTAATGGGAAAAATACCACTGCTTGTGTTGGAATTGTGCCGTCTCTCCTGGACAGCATTTGCTAGAATTCCTCTTTTATAGTTGTGGGTTAAGAATGACCAAGATTTGGGATGCAACAAGCAGGAGGGGTCATTATGTTCTAAAGCTGGCTTGGTCTTCTGCAGGTCACTTCTGTTGTCAGGATTGAGTGGTGATGACCCTATGCAGGTTCTAGTTTGTCTTTGTTAATTCTAGTCATTTTTATCAACAGCATCTTTTCTTCTGTTGCTGGCTCCACTGACCTATACCAATTCCAGTCCCACTAACAGATGCAGAGCCAATAGCCATAAACTCCTTCAGTAGCTCCCAATATTACATAAATGTAATCTCAAAAATAAATCCTGCATATCACAAGAATTCTGTCCTCATTTCTATACTGTCTTCTCTTAAAGCATTATCTATTGTGTATTTGTTTTTGTTTTTTTCTAATTTAGTCTATATTTCTGATATATTTTTTTCCTGAGTGTTGCTATCTCTCTCTTCAAATTTTTCATTGCAATTATTCCTATTTTATGTTTTATGTTGTTTTCCATAGAGTATCATATTCTTTTTTTCAGTTCATTAAAAAATATTAGATTTATTATTTTGTGAGCATGTCTTTTTGGAGATTTCCATCGTTTTCAGGATATTATTTGGCTCCTTGTTCTTTTTCCTTTGGATATTGTAATCCTTTCTTTTGCTCATGTTTTATGCAAAATAAAATTTCCTGTCCTTTTGGGAGAAAGGGATAGATCAAAATGCTTCTCTAGCTTAATGGGTCTAGACTCTTCCTTATGTTTTCTCAAAATGACAGAAAAATAGGATCTCATACTTTGATATCTTGCTCTTTTTCTCTACTTTTACCTGTTCTTCTTTTCCCCATTGTCCGTTTTGCTCAAATCAGGCTTTGTTCCCAGAAGCTTTTCTTCAGTGTGGGGCAATGAAAGACTGTTCCAGTTTACTTTCAAGCAGTTATATTATTAAGAAGGCACCAATGCCATGAAACTTTGGCACATTACAGATCTCTTGCATTCACCTATGAATAGCATTCTGTGTTACTCCCTTTTCCGTTTTGGTTGCTGTTCTCAGATTGGCTTGTGTGTGCCAGTGAAATGATGCTGTCAATTCCTATTCTGGGAGCTGCTAGAATCCCAGTCAGCCTTTCTTCTACATCCTCCCACATAAAGATTGGTACCATAAAGGTCTTGCTTCCTGGTGTGCCATATACTTGTGTTTGAGGATGCCTGGGGGAAATCTTTGTTATCTGCTTTTGGTATAGACGTGGATGGTGCAGTCTTCAGTTTTGCCATGCATGCAATTTGCTCTGTGTTTATGACAAGATTCCAGCATGCTCAAACTATGCCATAAAGAATCCTCTCCAATGCACTGTGGTAATTAATACATTTATAACTTTCCAATCAATTCTAAGCTTGTGAAATATTTTATTTCTTTAAGTTTTTTTTTACAGTGTGATTCTATCAAGATACCTTTCATACTCAACTATCTCTATTTCCCTAATATCACTAAAATTTATGTGCTCCAATTTTTTTTTTTGAGAACAGAAAATGTGGATTTATTGAAATACACTGCAGAGAAGCAGTGGGCTAGACAGGAGCAGTCTGCTGCACCTGTGCTCTGAATTTTTATCTTTCTCTCCTAAAACTTTAAAATTAGATTCTGTGAAAATTTCAGAATGTTATATCCAAATCAACAAAACTCCATCCAAAGAGAAAATTATTTAAAATCATATTCAATGAGAAAATTTACTCAGCTATGAGCTACCTTATATCAACAAGAGAGCATTCCAAAGATAATCTTCCCATTGTCTTCAGGTTTTCTTGAAGTTCTCTTAAACAGTTAATATTCACTAGTAGTTCAACACCCACATCATACAGCAAGACCTATGAAAACAATAAGTTTAAAGTCTGTGGAAGGTAATTTTTTGCAAACTGAAAAAGCATAATAAAAGTTGGATTAAATAACTCTAGGAAAAATATACAAAATGCGTTTATCCACTTTCAATTCTGCATTTACCTCTACCAATGTGTCTGTAACCATTCTGATTATTTGACCTCTTCGCCACTGATTTTTATCTGGGATCTTAACAGCACAGTGCATATCATTTTCCCATTTAACAGGTTCCCATTTTGAGTTTTCATAAGCAGCAACCATCTTTTCTTCTAAACTATGTAAAGAAAAATAATGTTGATTTTCTAAGTCTTTTCTTAAAACACATAATTCTCTGTCCACATGCCTCCTATTATCCCCACTTTGTTCATTTTACAGCAGTCAAGCTGAATACCTGTTTTCCTTTAATATCCACACATATTTGAATTAGCTCTTCCCTCTGCCTGAGATGAACTCATCCCAGATTTCTTCATGGCTTACTTTCTTTTCTTTTTCAGGGTCCATTTCAAAAATCACTATCCCTTAAATCTGCTGTCTTTTCCAACTGCTTCTATTCTCTCTATTGTGTTTATCATCATCTGTTACACAGAGTGTGTAACATTCATTGTCTCTTTCTCTACTAAAATTTAAGTTCTAGTTGCGAAGCTGCCCGCGGCCTCTGCGGTGCCAGTTCGATCCCCGGCTGCTCCCCGGCCACCGGAGGAGGGTCCCACATGGCGCGCAGACCTCTCCTGCCGCCCGCTGCTCCCCTCAGCAGTGTACTTCGTTCCTTCTGCCTGCTCTGCTCCCCGCTCTGGCTCTGGTGAATTCTCTCGCCCTCCCGCACTTCTGACTGCACCCAGTGCATGTATAAACAAAACAAACAAATGAACAAAACAAAATAAATAAAACATGCCTCTATAAAAAAAAATAAATAAAATTTAAGTTCTATGATAGCAAAGACTTGTTCATGTTTTTACTACTGTATACCCAACAATGAGAATCCTGGCTATCAAACAGATGATGTTCATTAAATGTGGAATGCATAAATTATAATACAGTGAAAACAACCAATAAATATACTAAGTGTATGCTTTTAGTTAGTTTTTAAGTGACTATTTTGCCGAAATAATTTTTCTACTTTTAAAATTATGTATTTATGATTTCTAAATATTTGAAACAAAATATAGAAAAATGAATAAAACCACATGTGATATTTTCCTTTTATACTATACCTATTAAGTAAGTTTTCTGTTAATAACCACTGAACATAAATCTTCTCAGGAGATACTACATTACAGATATGCACAGGGAGCTCCTTATTGTATAGTGACTGAAGATTCTCATTAGGTAGAGATTTTGCAGACACAGGGTTAAAGTTGTTTACTTCATTGGAAATAATTTCTTCTGGAGAAGGGTCCCATACTTCAATATGCTTTTTGGAATTATTTTTGCAGGAATATCTGAAAAAATAACAAATGTTATTAGCAAAAAGTATTTTGCAAAGTATTAGTATTTGTACAGATCTAGCATGAACTATGATTCACTACTTCTTAGTTTTGAAATTAAATAATAATTGTATTTTTAAAGAGTTCTTAACTATCATCAAAGTGAGTATAAAAACACTAAACATCAAACTTTCTACTTGAAAAGTTTAAAATATCAACTTTGCTCATAATTTTACCATTTCCCATTGATATTTTGCACTCACAAAGCAATAGAAGAATTACTCACTTTTTAAAAATAACTTGAGTGTTTGTTTCTCCTTGGTTAAAAAGCCTCAATCTATTTACCAATAGCAATGTAAGTGGAAAACAATTGCTATTAAAACATTTAAAATAACAGGGGCCTCCCTGGTGACACAAGGGGTTAAGACTCAACCTATGAAGCTATTCCTAGCCACTGCAGCATGAGTTCAATCCCTGGCCAGGGAGCTAGCCACATGGTGCAGCAGACCTCTCCTGACTTGCCCACTTCTCCCCTCAGCAGTGTATTTCAGTTGATCTGCCTATTCTGTTCCCCACCCTGTCTCTGGTGAATCCTCTCAATCTACACACCTCTGGATTGTACCCCATAAATAAATAAATATTTTAAAAATAAATAAAACATTTAAAATAAAATTATTGAATGAAGTCTTTAGAATGTTCTAACTGAAGCTAGGTATACTGCCTCAATCAGATGTTCACCTGATAAATGCAAAAATGGTTACAAGAAGATGTCTCTTTCTGTTTTAAATAATTAAGATTGTCTTTAGAAGTATAAAAATTCTGAATTTTGATGAAGACCAGTTTTATTTTTTTTCTTTTATAGTCTGTACTTTGAATGTAGCGTTTAAGAAAGTTAAGATTTAAGAAGCCTTTGCCCAGCCAACAGTCTTTAAGATTTTCTCCTATTTCCTTTTAGAAGTCTTGTTCTCACTTTTAAGACTAATTCATTTTGTGTTAAGTTTTTATGTATGGTATGAGGTAAGGGTACGTTCAATTTCTTTTTCTTTTTCTTTTTTTTTTTTGCCTGTGGCTATCCAGTTGCCCCAAAATGTGTGTTGAACAAACTACCTTTTCTCCAATGAACTGCACTGGCATCTTTGTTTTAGAAGTCAATTGGTTTTAAATACAAGGTTTTATTTTTCAACTCTCAATACTATTTATTGATCAATGTTTTTTTTTTTTATGTTAGTACCATAGTCTTGGAAACTAGTTTTATATTAAGTTCTGAAATGGGAAGAGAAAATCTTTCAGCTTTCTTTGATTTCACAACTGTTTTGGCCATTTTGGGTGTTTTATATTTCCAAATAAATTTCAGGATATCCTAAGCAATTTCTGCAAAAAGGTCTGCTGGAATATTCATAAGGATGGGGTTGTCTATAGCTAATGGAATTAAAAACATTAAAAAACTATTGTGGTGAAATTTATATAATATTAAAATACTTTAAATAGTATTTAAAGTGGCATTTAGTACAATCACAGTTGTTTGTACAACTATCTATCTAGTTCCAAAACAATTCTATCACTCCAAAATAAACTTTAAGAGATTATTCCCATAATTCTCTCCCCTCACTTCCTGTTAACCATTGATCTATGTCTGTCTCTGCAGATTTATCTATTCTGGATATTTCATATAAAAGTGGACTTATACAATATGTCACCTTTTATATAGAACTTATTTCATTTAGCATAAGGAATGCAAGGTACATCAACATTATAATAAATACCAATATATAATTATTTTTATGACTGAATAATAGCCCATTATACTTACATACACACACACACACACACACACACACACATTTATTCAACCATTGATGAACATCTGGACTGGTTCCACCTTTTGGTTGCTATGAAAAACATGCACATTTATTTGGGTACATGCTTTTGATTATTTTGCTTTATTCTTGATTGTTTTGGCTTAACTCTCATAACCTTACTGGTGTGAAGGCATCTTCTGCCTTCCTAGAATGGAATTTATGGGTCAACTGGTAAATTCTATGTGTAAGTTTTTGAAGAATTGCCAAATTGGTTCCTATTTCCACTTATATTCCCACTAGCAGTGCAGAAGGGGACAAATTTCATTTCTCTCCAACACATATCTTAAAAAAGTTATTCATTTTTGAGAAAGTAATATATGTACATGGTGCAAGATTCAAAAGCTACAAAAGCAACAGGTTAACAGCTAACATTGTTAGTGGATATTATGACTCATTCCATATAAATAATACATATATACAATATTTTTGGTAAAAAAATTAAACATCCATAATTGGTTATGCCCTAATTTATGTAAGCTTACATAACTATATAAAATCTATTAAAATTATTGTTATAATAATGTTAGCTGGAAAAAAAGGTTTATTTTAAACAACATGACCTTGATTTTAGAAAAATCAAGCTAGTTGGTTAAATGGGAGTAAGAAAATATTTAATGTTTAATTAAAACACTTAACTGTAGCAATGGCAGACCCCTTAAGCAAATCAATGTTACCATTCCTATCTTTAATGACATAGACTGACCTTGTAATTTAAAGAGCATAAGATTCTGCAGCCCAAAACTATCTCTCTAACTTATGGCAACATAATAACTAATTGGATTAATCTTTATGGAAAACTCCGGACATTCTCACAATTTGACATATGCTAACCTTCTATGGTGTTAACCATACTTACTACCACATGGCCCATTAAAAAAATTAGCATTACTGAGCTATAATTGATAAATCAAATTGTAAGATATACATAGTCATGATTTGATATACATGAAAACATTCCCTCCCATCTAGTTATTAATTCATAAATTATTTCACATATTTAGTTCCCCCCGTCCTCTTTAGTGAGAGCAGTTATATGTATCTTATGACTTCATTATTGCTCACTAAATAACTCAAAAATTTTTTCTAACTAAAAAAAAATTCTTATTTAATGTTTTTTTTTAAATAGGTTCAGTTGTATTATTTATAATTCACTTATTGCCTAATCTAAAATAGATTTACAACCACTTGTGCTTTGTCTATTGCTTATGTACAAATCTATTATTAACCTGCCTTTATGATTATCTGCATTGTTCTGATTGGGTTTTTTTTTTTTTATGATGAGCATGAATTTATTCTTTTTTTTTAATAATAAATTTTATTTTTATATTCCCCATACATTTGCAACCCCCCTGAATTTATTCTTTATTTAATATTTGAATTTATAGGTAAGGGGAATATATATAAAGATGGTGCTAAAGGCAGGGAAAATTCATTTTAAGATTTAAAAATGTTGCTTTCTGTATATTTTTCCACAGTTCCCACACTATCACAAAGAGCTCTTTTTTCTAGATTCTATTTTGCTTATTGTAGAAGTTTTATTTTAGTTTTGGTGTCCCCCTAGCATTTAAGGTGAGGTGATTGATGCTTGATGTATTCTTCTGCTCTTGATAGTTTCAATGACTCTCCTAAGGCTGTGACTGTTTTTAAAAAGGCAAATTTGAAGTTTAAATAGCTTCATTCTATGATCTATGAAAGAAAGAGCTGGTAAACTGAATTTCATTGAAATGAAAAACTTCTGCTCTGTGAAAGATGTGAAGAGGATAAAAAGACAAGGCACAAAATATTTGCAAAAGACATCTGATCAAGGATATTTTCCAAAATATAGAGGGAACTAAAAATTCAATAATAAGAAAACAACCCAATTAAAAGGGGGGTTAAAACTGTAACAGACAGACATCTCACCAAAGATGATTTACAGATGGCAAATAAGCATGTAAAAAGATGCTTTGTACCATATATCATCAGGGAAATGTGAAGTTAAACAAAAATAAGACACTGACTACACATCTATTGGCATAGCCAAAACCTTGAACACTGACAGCACCAAATTCTGGTGAGGACGTGGAGCAATACAAAAACTCTCATTCTCTGATGGTGGGAACACAAAATGGCACAACCACTTTGGAAGATAATGTGCTATTTCTTATAAAACTATACAAACATACTCTTAATACCATACTGCTATATTATAGCAATTGAGTTCCTTGGCATTCAGTAATAAAAAGAAAAGGAAGAACCTTAAATGGATATTACTAAGTAAAAGAAGTCAATCTAAAAGGGTTATATATGGTATGATTCCAACTATAGGACATTGTGGAAAAAGAAAACCTCTATAGAGAGAGTAAGATCAGTGGTTACCAGGGGTTAGAAGGAAGATAGGATGAAGTGGTGGAGCAAGGAGGATTTTCAGGACAGTGAAAATACTCTGTATGATAATATAATAGTGGATTCATGTCATTATATATTTGTCAAAACCCCACAGAATCTACAGTAATATAAACTATGGGTTTGGGTTATTTTTATGTGTCTATGTAGTATTACTGGCATTAGCAAATTTGCTACTCTGGTGACTTATAGTGGAGGAGTTGTCTATGTAGGGGCAGGGGGTAGAAGGGAACTCTGTTTTCCACTCAGTGTTGTTGGAAATCTAAAACTGTTTCAAAAAATAGAAACTATAAGAGAAACCATCTGATATTTTTTCTTTTTCTTTCTGACTTCTAGGAGTAATATAGGGGAAATAAATAAGCAATCAGGGGGAAATAATAACAAAAAATTGTTTGGAAATATAAATCAGAGACATTCTGTGGGAGAGGGATCAGAACAGAAGAGGGAGGAACACAGGGAACTATGGTGATGGTGCATGGGTGAATAGGTGGTGGGAATTATATGGGAACTACACTTGAGAGGAGAAACCAAACACAGTACAAAAATGAATAATGATATTAAAAATATATAAATAAATTATATTAAAAAACTATTTAATGAAGTAAAAGGATAACAGATCTAAATATGAAACCTAAGACTATATATAGAAGGCTATAAAGAGACTACAAATCTTAGAAGATTATAGAGGAGAAAATCATTATGACCTTCCATCAGGCGTGGATTTCTTACTATGACACATGTCCCATATTACGAAAGAAAAACTGTCAAACT